ACTCAAATAAGTATAGTTATTAATTTACTTCATGTCGTACATAACTACTTTAAAGCAAGCCGAGCATGTTACTATATTTTTTTTCCGGAATGGTCCGTAGACACTTTGATACCTACAGCAAAAAATATGACCAAAAACACAAGTTCCAACCCTGTATTTTGCGATTTGAGTTGTTTTTGTGTGTTTATTTATTTATTTCATTTTATTTTTCTATATAGCTCAAATGAATTTAATGATATGTATTAATATTTGGAAATAAAAGTTGTTTAATATTCATCAGTCGGGCATACTTCCTGATCGGGAAACAAGGGGATTCCCCTTCAAAGCTTCCCGATCAGGCAACAAACGTTAAAATCCTTCCCGATCGGGAAGTTTTTTTGGCCTTTTTTACGTAGTTCAAGAAAAATGATCGGTGCATAACAGTTTTCAATCCACTTCAATATGAATATCACACTTTTGTTCAGAAAAGATACATCTAAAATCCTACCGAGTCATTTTCTTTTAAAATGTCTACAATTAAAATAATCTGAAAGTGAACTTAAGTAAAGTTTTTAGATTTTACCAAAAACTCGCCACTTCCCGTTTTGGGAACGTTGCTTCCTGATCAGGCATCTAGCAAAATATTCATCATTAAAAGTTTAAGATACACTGCTTCCCAATCTGGAAGTACCTTATATTTGTAGTAGTACCTGGCCTTGATGATTAGAAATTGCTAAGCCTGGTCAGTTTTTAAAGTCATGTGGCAATAATTCAATCACGAGTGGAATATATCTGGCGAAGCTTATGTCCTTGTTAGGCGTAATAATATATATATACACATTAGCTATACTTGACGGACAGTACAAAAATCATCATTATATTACAAAAGTTTCATATTGTTAAGATTGTATAGCACATGTTGAACAACATTGCACTGAGGGAGTAATTTTTCAAAAAAATTATGCAGCTCAAATAATTAAGTTAAATTAAATGTTGACTAGAGCTCAATAAAATATTATTTTTTGGCTATAGCTCAAGACGTGTTTGCATACTACATGTGTTTGTAGTGACTGTGTCATATTTCTGTTTTCTGAAACTTAAAGTGTATAAAGCTATATATCTGATGATAAAATTATTGTTTGAATTTTAAAAAAGTATACTTCCAAAATGATTGTATGAAATAAATATGGTAATTTATTGCCTTAAACGCGAATGGCGCAAGAACAAAATCATTGCTAAACGGATAAAACCCTACTTAAAATAGCAAAACAATATTGTGTTCTTGCACAGGATTCATGTGCATTAAATAACAGAGACATTCTATGTTACATTACTTTTTTCGGGAATCAACCATATAATAATGGAACCAGCATAATTTTGCTGTGGATAAATCTTATTAAAATATTAAGATATAGAACATACCCTTTAAACCACTCTAATTTTAAAAAAATGAATAAAATATAAGATAAATAAATAAATAAAACAAGAAATATCATAATGACATATATGCCCCCTTTCTAGCTGAAATTGAATGAAATCTATCATTAGTAAGTGAAACAAAATGGAGAGTAGCTGGAATAAAATATATATTATCATATAAATGTAAATATGAGCATCTACTTCGAACATTCAAGGTTATTGTGACCTTGTCCTCTGAGACCTAGTGATCTCAAAATCAATAGGGGCCATCTACTAGTTATGAACAATTAAAATGTGAAACATAAAAACTTGATAACTTGAAAATAATGCGTAGAAACCATTCTGACATTTAACGCCTTGTGACCTTTGACCTAAAGACTTCAAAATCGATAGGGTCATCTACTAATTATAACCTATCATTAAGTGAAATATAAAAGATTTAGTAATAAATAGTTTTCAAACTAATGAACGGAAACCATTCTGACATTTAAGGACACTGTAACCTTTAAAATGGTGACCCCAAAATCAATAAGGGTCATCTACTACATATGACTAATCAACACATGAAATAGGAAAACTTTGTGATAAATACTTTTCAATATATAGTGCGGAAACCATTTAGACATTAAAGCAACGTGACCTTGACCTTTGACCTAGTGACTCCAAAATCAAAAAGGGTCATCTTCTAGTTATGACCAATCAATATGTGAAATATGAAAACTTCAAATAAAAAAAATAATGTTAAATACCAGTCAAAAATGATAATGAGCGGAAACCATTCCGAAATTTAAAACACCTGTAACTTTGACCTTTAAGCTAGTTTCAAGATAATGAGCTTAAACCATTCTGACATTTCAGGTCCCTGTGACCTTGACTTTTGACATAGTGACCACAAAATCATAGGAGTCATCTACTACATATGACTAATTAATTTGAAAATATGAAGACTTTGTGAGAGATGATGAGCGGAAACTATTCTGACATTTAGGGTCCCTGTGACCTTGACCTTTGACATAGTGACCCTGAAATCAATAGGTGTCTTCTACTATAGTTATGACCAATTAATATGTAAAATATGAAGACTCTGTGTTAAATATTTTTAAGATAATAAAAATGATGTCTACCGATGGACTGACGGACCAACATTAACATAACATAACATAACATATATTTTATTCAACATAAAATTGTATACAATTTATAGTCATACAGATATTGTGTGGACATTAGCAAGTCAATATACCCACTCTTCTTCGAAGTAGGGCATAATAAAAATAACTAGGACCGGGTGTGAATAAGAAAGTTGATGTTTGAATATTCGTTTTTCCATATTCGAATATATTCGAATATTCGTTTTTACAAAATTTAAGAAGACACCACCTATGATGCTATCATTTGTATCTGAACTGCTAGACACACCAGACTTCAAAACATGCACGACATGACTCACATGTTGATTTGTTGAACATACAACTTTATTTGTTGGTGTTGTCCCAAGCAATCTCAATCAGCAGGAAAGAATTCCAGAATAGAACGCGCTAACTTAAAGAATAAAACTTTCCAAACGGGAAACATTTAATGGTGAATATTATGCTAGATGCCTGATCAGGAAACAGTGTTTCCAAAACGGGAAACAGCTACTTCTTAGTAAAATCGTAAAACTTCACTCAAATTCACTTTCAGATTATTTTAAGTGCAGACATTTTTAAAGAAAATGACTCGGTAGGATTTTAGATGTATCTTTTCTGCACTTAAATGTGATATTCATATTAAAGTGGGTTGAAAACTATTCTGCACCGGCCATTTTTCCTGAACTACGTAAAAAAAGGCCAATAAACTTCCCGATCGGGAAGGATTTTGACGTTTGTTGCCTGATCGGGAAGCCTTGAAGGGGAATCCCCTTGTTTCCCGATCAGGAAGTATGCCCGACTGTTCATGATATTGTTTATCTGTCTTACAAAGTGTAGTTGGCTGCGGAAGGAGTGTCAGTTAAATTAAATGGTTATAAATTAAAAATGATTGCCGTCTGGGTCTGCGAGCATTCTATCTATATATCTATCTCTGAGTACTGCCAACCCCTCTCCAGGATAGTGCGCGTCGGGTGTGTTAGTGAAAGGTGTGAGAGAAAGTGAAAACATGAAAATGAACATGATCAGGACAGTGAGAGACATTGAAAACTTATATAGTCATTGTTAAAATGTTTGTATTAGTAAGGGTGAAAGAAATATTTAAAAGTAAAAACACAACAAGTCAGCTAATACTGTATCTTAACCACTGCCTGTTTGTATTGATCTAGATCAGGCAGGGTGACAATGTTCTTTGGGAGCTGGTTCCAAAGTGTGATACAGTGGGGGAAAAACGAGAACTTATGGTAGTCTGATGTAACCTGTATTTTCCTAAGAGAGATGGGATGCATGTGTCTAGTAAGCCTAGATGGAGTTTTAATAAAGGTGGAAAGGCTAATTGCTACTAGATTATGGTAAATTTTAAAAATTCTTACATATATGCCCTTAAGTATAGCCATATAAGTTTTAAGGGGAAATATTTTTCTAGCTCAACGGTCCGATTGTCCATAAATTGCTGCAGGTCCGGTTCCCCGATCAGGCACGTTAAATTTTGTTGACACAGTACTTCATACTTTGACGTTTGTTTTATATATAAATTATATTATGTAATTAAAAAATCGTTTGCTGATCGTTGGTTTTTTGGTTAAAGGTTTATGTCTCTCATCCCAAGGAACTTGGGGCCAGAGCCCTACTTTACGACCATGTTTTCACACTGACAGGTCTCAAGGTTTTAAAACTTTTTACTGAGTTCTGTCTTAAACCTCATGATATTAATTGGTCATTCTTTGGCAATTTCTGACCAATGAAATGCCTGAGATCTGAGTTTGAGCCATGAGAATTTCTTTATAACCTCGGACACTGCACATGCATCGACTCTAAAGTTGTCGAAATATGATAACGGTCAATAACAATAATGATAACAAAGATACATGTTTATGTACTAGATAGTGATAATCTATGATAACGATTTCAGATCATTGTCCCGCCACGTAATTGAATATGAATAAACAGAAGCTGAGACGTTATTTACTAATATATAGAAATATAAAATTATGTCCCAGAAGTATGAATACAAGTAGCATCTTTTTCACTAGGAAATAAGTAAACATATTAATTTCTTTATCGGCTCTTAATTAGAACTCGTGAGTCATTTGAGTAGGTCGAATTTTCTATTTATGTATATAATCTGGGTTCCAGATATAATGTATGTGAAGCATTTATCGCAATGTACAATTTTGAATTATCTTCGGTGTCTAAGTCATTTTTAGTTGCATATAAAAGGTCTACATTGAGTAATTAAAAATCCCTGCCAAAGGAATTGTATTCTGAATACAATGAATACATTCCGTCGAGAGGTTGGTGTCTGTTCTAAACATGTACACAAAAACTAACAAAAATGACAGCTATGGCGTTCCATAAAGTCGTGTAATCCAGCAATTACGAACATGATTGCGTAACAAGGTCAGCGTGTCAATTATGTATGTACGTCACGTGACATCAATGAATGAATTATATACACACGGCAAAGTATAAGGGTTTGCAGCTGGTGCGCCGCTTTAGAATATAGATGTGTTGTAGGTAGAAGAATTTAAAGTTGACTTTGTCGTTTGATGAATTTTAAGACAATACTATAAATTATGATCAGGTAAAGTACATGGTTGTAAAGTTGGTCAACTGCAAATGTTTACGTTTGTTTACTTGGCGATGGGCCAAATATTTGCTGTTGTAAAATTTGATTGGTCAGATGTTTGACTGACAGGTACGTCGATAATTGGGTTACTCCGCCTATTTACATTGAAGCTGAAAGATGGCGACGAATATTCCACATCGTGTGAATTTATCCGTGCTATTCTACGGAGGTTTAGATAAATCTACATGTGCAAAATTATTGATGGATTATTTATTGAAGAAAATGTGACAGGTGATGTGCATATGTGTTGGGACTCAGGGAAGTGGAATATTTAACTGCGTATTTGGGGCGTGTAAAGATATCCAAGGGCAGACTTGTGTGAAAACTTGTGTAATATATCGGTGTAATGTCATCTTGACTGGTCAGTGCGTACACACACCAAAATGTAATCTAAAGGAACGTATTTCGTTGTTGTAACCGCTCTACCTCATGAGTTTTATGTGTCAATGGCCAGTATATCAGATCAGATAGGGGACTTGGGTGAGCTTGGGGCATGTCCAATATGTCGTAGAATATATCAGGATCCCAGAGTTCTTCCATGTTTACATTCTTTTTGTAAAAGATGTTTAGAAAGGTACCATCAGGAAAATGGGTCATCAGAAACGTTAAAATGTCCGTCATGCCACCAAGAAGCGTCATTAAATTCCGGTGGGATAGAAGGTATCCCGTCAAGCATATTCATTTCAAACATTTTGGATGTGATGGTATCACAGGACGACTATGAGAATGGTGAACTAGAAAATGACCATCAGAACCACTGGTGTAATTCATGTGATGAAGGAAGCCGTGCAACGTCTGTTTGTAAAAATTGCCATGAGTACCTCTGTGAAAGTTGTGTGAAAGCACATCAGCGTGTAAGATTAACCAAGGACCACTACATTGAAAGATTTGGAAATCACAGATACAGACCTCAGAATATTACGCCATGTATGCCCTCTCCAATAATTTCTGCTGCCCAAGGTGATCGTCAGCAAACTCCTTGTTCAAAACATGAGCAAGAGATCCTTCGTCTTTATTGCGATACTTGTCTATCCCCTATCTGTCGAGAATGCACCATGACTGAGCATGTAGGTCATAGTTTTATCTACCTCCAAGATGCCATCGATGATTCTCGCACTGTGACAGTCAAACTGCTTGCAGATGCGAAAGCTGGCATGAAAGCTATTGAAGAAAGTCTACAAGTCACTCAGGGTATGGCTGAACGTGTCGAAGTTAGATCTCAGTCTGTTGCCACAGAGATCCGCAACATAACAAGGCGTCACATGCTAGCTTTAGAAGAGAGAGAAAGAGACTTGTTAAGAAGAGTTGAGAAAATACGACAGGTCAAAGGGAAATCTCTTCATATGCAAATGGACGACTTAAAACAAGGTTTAATGTCATTGAGCAGAACTGTAGAAAATGTTGAAACTGTGTTAAACACAGGACGTGAAATTGATGTCCTGAAAACCAAAGAAAGTATGGTCAGTGAAATACAAAAGCTTCGTTCCTTACGTGGACATTTACAACCTCATGAAGACGACAATATTTTGTTCACACCACCAGATGCAGCCCTTCATGTTGCCATCACAAAGCTTGGCTTTATTAGCAGTAGTGCTTATGCATCAAATTGTATTGCTGTTGGAGATGGTCTTAAAAGAGCCCTGAAAGGGAAAGTAGCCATATTTGTCATACAAGCAAAAGATCATTTAGGAGAACAAAGAGTTGTTGGAGGTGACCCAGTTGAGTGTGTCATACAAAGTCCAGAAGGTGCTCTATACCGTACAGAGGTCATTGACAGACAGAATGGGACATACAGTGTAACATACCGACCCCAGATTGAAGGACAGCATGCTATTTCTGTGATGATCAATGGAAAACATATACATGACAGCCCTTTCTCTGTCTCGGTTAGAAGCGGAAGAAATTACGCTGCTGTTGGGACAATGATAACACAGTTTGGTGGAGAAGGTGAAGAAGAGGGGAAGTTGTGTAGGCCATGGGGAATCTGTTATCATAAAGAAGGGTTTATTCTTGTTGCTGATCGTAGCAACAATAGGGTCCAGGCTTTCAACCCGGACGGTACATATCATCATCATTTTGGATCAGCGGGGACGCGTAACGGACAGTTTGATCGGCCTGCTGGAGTAGCCACGGATAGTCAAGGGCGTGTGATAGTAGCTGATAAAGATAATCATCGTATCCAGGTATTTACAGTCGAGGGAAATTTCATATTGAAATTTGGTGAAAAAGGGAATAAAAATGGTCAGTTTAATTATCCATGGGATGTAGCTGTTAATTCAGAAGGCAAAATTCTTGTGTCAGATACACGTAATCATCGTGTACAGTTATTTACATGTGATGGTTTGTTCATTAACAAATATGGATTTGACGGTGCTTTGTGGAAGCATTTTGATTCACCTCGTGGAGTGTGTTTCAACAATGAAGGTCAGATGGTTGTAACAGACTTCAACAACCATAGGCTTCTTGTAATTCACCCAGATTTCCACAATGCTAGATTTCTGGGTACAGAGGGAAGTGCGAACGGCCAGTTTTTGCGACCACAGGGCGTCGTAGTTGATCAAGAAGGCAATATTATAGTTGCCGATTCACGCAACCATAGAATTCAGGTTTTTCAACCAAACGGGAACTTCCTGTGCAAGTTTGGCGCGCCAGGTTCGGGTCCTGGTCAGCTTGATCGACCTTCAGGTATATGTGTAACACCTGAAGGTCATGTTCTTGTTGTTGATTTTGGTAATAATCGTGTACAAGTATTTTAAATGCTTACGCCCTTATAAAGGGCCAGCTTACTGCCTTGCTCAGGTTCAAACTCAGGTTTACCCTGCGTTAACTCTTGTGAAGCAAATTGACATCTGTTCGCCAAAGGCATATTTGTTAAAGTCTGCTCAGGGAAAATAACTTAAAAGTGCACCAGGTTAATTCCTTTCACCACTTTGGAGAAAAAAAAATATATGACTGTTTATGCGTGTGTTCTTATATATGTTAAACATGTTTAGTATATTACTATAATAAGATTTTGTATGTGTCAGTTATAATTATAAAAAATTTGTTAGATGTTTGGTTCTTGTATGTATCATGAAAGGAATTAATTTGGTTCACTGTAAACAATAATTATTGTGAATATAGATTTTATATATGTATAATATCACTTTTTTTCTGTTTTTTTTTATGCCTAGATTTTTTTTCCTTCATAAAAGTGTACTATTTCTGTAGATATATTACATAGTAATAATAATTATATATATTACTAAACTAAACATCACTTTTAAAAAAGTGTAATTAATTCATCATTTTCGCTGGTATATTATTATATATCTATGAATAGTTCGAAAAATATAATTTGAAATAGTCAAAATATGCCTTCCCACTGCCTAATTTAGTGATAAGTTGAAGTGTAATACAATTCATATATATATAATATATATCAACATTATCTTAAAATATAACCTTTTGCCTGTTTTTAGAAATGATAACTTAAGAAAATCCTTAAAACTTGAAAATATTACAAAATAATGTTAAAAATAGGTACTTGGTCTTCTAAGCTTCGGGAAGAAGAAAAATTTTTTTTTAAATAACTTATTATGAAGAGACTATTTTTGGACAATTGATGGAGTTTGGTTTTGCTTGTGATATTTGATGGAATGATATTTGTACTTTTATTGTGTATTGATTGCTACATGTTGAAATACTGATTTTAAATCAACCATTTTTCAATTGAATGTTATACATCGGGAATTTATTTTAGTTGAGAAGAACACAAAAATCAGGAGAATTCCCTCTGTTTATTAAGGACATAAAAATATGGGGCATAACAGTTAAGTTGAAAATTTTGTAGTGAAAATTTAAAAAAAAAAGAGGAGTTTTAAAGAGACTTGTCTCTAGTCAACATTTATAGATCAAAAGATTATGAATAGTAACTTTTCAATGAGTTTTCTGTGGATTTTTCATTAAGGCATTTAGTGCTTTCTTTATGTTTTTCACTTAAAAGTTTTATATATTCCTGTTTTTTGGCACAAGAAATAGATGTTTATTGAAACACAATCTACCTTTTTTTAACATGATCAAAAATCAAATTTCCAACAGTTCATGACCTAGGAGCACATGTTTAATTGAACAGCTCTTTGTAAGATGATACCAGTTTCATTCACATGTTGAAGGGGGGAAACCAAAACTTATGTGGGTCCGTTTTGACCTTTAACTGGTTCCTGTTGACCTACCTCAAGGTTCATGTTAGTAAATCAGTCACATGTGTGTGTGAAATAAATGTATTAACTGATTTTTGTTCTGCATTTAGGGTTTTTGTTTTGTTAGGGAAGGTAATAATACTAGTACCTGAATATTAGGAAAAGAGTATGGCTTAATTTTTGTGTGTATCTTTTAACCAATATCCTTAAAGGCTTTGATTTTTTTGTTGTTAAAAAAAAGGAAACAAAATTCATTAAGGGTGGTATTGTAAGCTCAAATATATATGATCAATTAATTCTGACTGCAAAATATTTTGGATGGTGAATTTCCCTTGACAGCATTTCATTCAATATAAAGCAGTAAAAACTATCTATTTTTTTGCAGAAACACAAGACAAATTCAAAAACCAATGTTAAGTTGTAAGTAATTGGATAACTCCTTAGGGTAATGATTGCACTTATCTAAAAGTCAATTTATATCTAATATATTGTATTTCAGTAATGGGACTATAAAAGCTGGCAAATTTGTGTTCTTTACTTTGCAAAATTCTAGTTTTACGTATTTATTTGGTAAAGAAAATTTGAAATTCATGATTGATTTTTATGCTGATCAGATCTTCAGTTCATGCTTTATCTCCTTTCCTGTAGCTGAACTAGATCTGTCCAAATGGTCAGTTTGTTTGCTTGGCTGGTTGCCAAATATTTGCTGGTTAATGTATAGTTGTGTGGTCAGTTATGTAACTAACAGTACTTGACCAGTGGTGTAAACATGATACAGATCAATGGTCAGTTGTTAAGCTACACTATTTGCATAGGTCAGTACACTTTGTGGGAGTGGACAGGTTGTAATGTGTATTGGCTGTAGGATAAACAGTCATGAAGTATAGATGTAGCATGATAATTTGGCAGTTATAGTAAACTACTTTTTCCAATGATCCATAGATTATATTAAGAAAAGAGTGAGCTAGACAGATTTTCTTGTGGGGCTTATCTTATCTTCGAATTACATGTAGGGGCTTAACTATAGATAACTGATTTAAGTTTTTGTTTAAATAATACATTGCCCATGTAAATACCTTGATATTCTGTATTTAATAAAAATAAAACTATTTTTTCAGTATTACTTTATAACATAGTTTAGATTTGATTTAACAGCTTGAAGAAATACTTGATTATCTTTTCCAGTTTCTTAATTGCTTATAGTTTGGAATTTGATATATTTTATCTGATATACATGTCTGCATTTTACTATTTGTTGATGGGCCAGACTGTATATTCAAAATTATTGGTTCAGTTATTTGCTCAATTTTAAATTCCTATATAAACTTTGATTGTTTTAAATCAATTAAGATCAATATTTTTGTTAAGGTTCAGTGAGTTGTACAATTTTTTATTAATATATGAACAATTATTTTCCTGCATCTATACTGGTCAAAATTTGTTGGCAAGCATGCTGGTAAACAAGTTGGCCTTGATAGGTTATTGAGATGAAAGGCATAGTATAGTGGTGATTTCCTTTGGTCAGTTAGCTGCTCTTCCTTGTACATTTATCTATACCATACTGTTTCAATATTATGAATGAATTTACTAACCAATACCATACTGTACAGTAGTTATATCTTATATAACCTATTCCATACTATAGTATCTTAATACATATTGAAAAGAATGAAAACATTATTATGAAAATAATATGGAAATGAGAAGAAAAGTCAGAAACAATATATGGCTGACATTTTGTCCCATGAAAAAAATCAATTCAAACATATTGGAGATAGTTTTATGAAAAGTGACCTTGTCACTGCTGAAAATTTTTCTTAAATGATATGGGAGTTGAAAAGCATAAAGAAAGCACGTTCATGTTTAAGTAAGGGAATAAAAACTAGGTTATAAATCCATTGAATTTATTGGCTCTTGTTATTCTGTTAAATGTTTGATCATGTATTTGAGAATATATGTGACAAGAATTATCTTTGCTTTGTTTAGATGTATCAACAAAATATAAATCAAGATGACTTCAGGCCACTATGTACATATGTCATTGAACTATTGTTTAAAAGAGTAACAAACATGCTAGTGTAGTCTTGAATTTAAAAGTGCTTGCTTTACTCTGTTAACCCTTAGCCAGATGCTGGCGACAACAGGTTCTACACATACAGCCAGTGCAGACCAAGATCAGCTTACATATCCGTGCCATCTGATCATGGTCTGCACTGTTTATTATTCAGTTAGTTCATTTTTTTATAATTTCCAAAGAAATGATAAATGGTTTTGTTAAGATTGAAAGATGGACAAATTCATTTAAGATATTTAATTAGAGGGGTAAGGGTAAATTTATGCTAAGGGGGAAAATGAATTGACTTTTGCTTTGAAAATTTGAGAAACACCAGCATTTCATTTTTCTTACCCCCCCTCCCCCCACAGACACACAGTCCCCTCTTTATTTGTTGTAATGTTACTGGAAACATACTGGAAATATTTTTTTGTTGTTATTAAATTGAAAATAATATTGAAAATACTAAGTATAATTAGGTCAGATGGATAATAAATTGGGATCTCTGTTTGAATGGTTATTTTGGGATTTGTTTGTTGTTTTTTTTGCTGTCGTAATAAAAGAGCTTCTTTTGCCTGATTGTCTGGTCATGGTCAGCAATGTTTGTTATTTAGTCTTTATATATTTTTGAAATTTTCCCCTAAAAATGATGAATGGTTTAGGCCAGATTGAATGATTGACAAGTCCATTTAAGATTTGAAGAGTGGGAAGGGTTAATCAGATTATTTGTGATTTCTCACTATATGTTAACAATGGTAATTGATGGTTTGGTGCGAAATGGTCGTAACTCCTTTGAATTTTAATTTACTCGATGTACGATTCTTTCACACAAAGTCCGTCAAAATGTACATGTAAATATTTCGATTATCAGAGTAGCTTTTTAGCCAGTAAAAGTGTTTTGCTTTGTTTATTTTCATTCATTCATTGTTTGTTCATGACTTGATAATGTTTAGAACTTATTTTCGAAAAAGTAAAAGAATTTGTGACGTTCATTATTACATGTTTTTCTGTATGTATGTATTTCTTGTAAGGCTTAAAAAGTCTCGTAATCACTCGTAACCACTCGCTACCTCAAAATGTTAGATTTTCTGTGAGCTTTATTCATTCACGTAACCACGGCAAGCTATGTATATAATATTATTTGTTTGTTTGTTACACGATATTTGTTTTTGCTTATGAGTGACGATGAGTTGTTTGTATTGTTCTAACCAATGTTTTTTTCAATGTTTTGTGTGATAATTATCTAATAAGATATGCAAGTTTGTGAGGGCACGATTTATAAGACAGGATCATTATGACTACAGAATTGTTTCTTTTTTCAACTTTTAAATAATTCTTCCTACTCCAAGTTAAGCTTTTGGAAGTGTTATGGATTTGATTGCAAGTTAACATAAAAGTACAGGAAAATAAGATTTAGCATTGTGGAATTACTATGGGCTGTACAATGTAAATTTTTTTTTTATTACAATATCATAAATTTGAGATGTTTAATTTTTCTTTGGGTTTAAAGCACTACCTTTATGGCATTTAAGTTGCTTTGGGTTGAAAAACATTACTGAGATGCTTAATAATAATGTAGACAATTCTTTAGCTGGCATACAGTCCATATGTCAGTCATTTAGTAATTTGTCATTGAAATAACCTGTTATGAAGATCATGACTGTGTTACTTGTGTACTAGTAGAACCTTGTAAGGCATTGAACTCAGTGTTTGCTCATGGAAAGGAATCGGGTTATATCTAATTACACTTAAATGAAAAATTTCATCAGCTAGTTATGTAACTAATTGTCTCAC